GCTGGGCTTGAACTCTGATTCTCCCCATCTCAGCCTCTCAAGTAGGTAGGATGACAAGTGCAAACCATTAGTACTTGACTTGTTACCCTATTTTCTAAAAGTAGAGAGCACATTTCTTTAAGGATACATACAGAGATGGTGACCATATAAAGAAAATCGAAGGATCACTATTTCAAAAAGAGAATATTAACTAGGGAGGATACAGTAGTCATTCTAAAGCATGAGCAGTATTTTATGTCTTAGACTTCATAGATACTCAGAGCTCATGTGTGTGCATGTGTGCATACACATCAGTACTGGCATTTGAACTCAGTTCCTCTTGATCTTGCCTAACTTTTCCACCAAAGCTGGCCCACTTGAGGTTCCAGGTTTATGTTTATTTCTGCTCTAGTTTTATGTTAGTTAGATATAAGAATCTTGGATTTTTCTACCCAGGCTGGCTTCTAATTGCAATCCTCAGATCTCAGCCTCCTGAGTAGCTAGGGTGACAGTTAGTGGCATGAGCCACCAGCCTTTTAAACACACATCTTCCTATATGATGAAGTTTACCATTTTTTAAAGTCCTTATTAAATATCAATACAAACATTACATTTGCCCGCAAATGAATTGCTTTGAAGGAAGCAATGTCTCCTCAAAAACCTAAGAGACCCAGTAATCTTATCCCTGCTTCCTCCTGACTTTCTTCCTATGAGTTTCTGCAAAAAAACACAACATAATAATAAAATTGGGTTTTGTTTGTATTTAGCCAAGTGTTAAGTACATCCAAGGACTTGAATGAGATTCAAGCCTGCCTTCTGGGAGATAGTACTATAACTAAGTAAATTTTAGGCAACTGTAAAAAAGCAAAGAATTTAGTACCAATAAAAATAGTTTCTGACTTAGTAATTTATTATATGCCCTCAAGTAAAAACCTCAGGAAATCAAACTTAGGAAAATTGGATTAAAACGGATCATAATTAAAGTTATTAATAACTTTAAAGTTTTCCACTTATACTGGAGACAGTTCTTTACTACAGACCAGTAAGCCCCAACTCCCTTTATTTGACATGAATAGTCATTTCCTGATTTCCACTCCTTACCAGAATTTATTTTACAGATGTCTTAATGGTTTTTGTTCAAGTAAGATGCTACCAGATGAAAATTCAATATTACATCCTGGCTCATCTCATTTCCTCGTGGCTTTCTTCATATTATAATGTCAGGACCATACAAGCTATAATGACCCTTTCTCTGAACAAAACCTGCTCCTGGGAAGGGCGAATGACCCTAGACAAGAAAAGCCAAATAACTTTTGAGGCATTAAACTAAAATTTTAACCAATAAAAATCACTATAGTCTAGCAATGTTTGAATCACTAAAATAATATACAATACTTTTTCCTTCTCTGTTTTTAAAAAGTCTTCTCTAGATGTGGAGTTGGTTATCTACTAGCTATATCAGGTCTTCTATATCTTATTTTATACATGCAATTCCTGAATATTCATATAAAATGACTTTTGCTCAATCAAATTAGAAATACACAAAGTATGCTTTAGGAAAATCAGTCTGAAATTCTGTAGACAATAGGCTTTCTGTAAAAACATTATTACCTTCCTCCAATTCAAATTTCATTTGTACACTTATTAAAAATAGTTACAGAGAACCTGAGGTGTGCTAAATGCTAAGAATAGATAACCATCAACACTACAAATGGTCTTGGCTGTCAGAGATTATTTCCAGTCAAGGAACCAGAAATTAACAAACTGTATAATGAATTATTTACTGATTAGTTATATACTAAGCTCACCTTCTTTACAGATTATCACTCACAGTTTTGACCACATACAGTAAAAAATATAAAAATAAATAACTAAAAACAAATTACAAAAATGTTTAAACCCTCTGCTCAGTTTGATGCAGAGAGACTCTGGGTCAGTCCCTAATTGTGCTTAACATTGTTAAAATGTTTGTGGGACCCACTGTGTGTTTTCTGTGAAAAATCGACTCGCTGAAAGCAAATGTTGTTCAAAAGACAAAGTAAAAAGTAAAGTACTTAATTTAAGGCATCAAGGGAGAGTGTTCAATTTATTGCCTTTAGTGGAAGTTGAGTAACATTTGGGGGGAAAGAATCAAGCATCTGCTCTACAGTACTGAGCTCTATGTGTCCTGAGCGTGTGATATTTTTCTTCAATGTAATCTCCCTGGAATCACGTACCTATGGGTACCAAGGTACCCACTGTATGGGTACCACTGTAGTTGTGATACATGCCTTCATGGAAAGTTCCTATCCTAAAACCACATGTAGGTGCTAAAATCTGACCAAGTCCAATTTAGAAAATTAAAAAAAAATCTCTGAAAATGTAATGTTTACAGAAGCATGTAAGACTGAGTAGGAGGGCTTAAATCTTCCATTCCCTTGCTTCCCTCCAAGTTCCTTGTGTCTAAGCTAGGAAAACATGCAAAACAACTGGGGGAAAAAAAACCATATGCCTGTGGGAGGCGGGTGACTTACCTTTAGCATCTGGGTTGTAGCACTAATTGGCCATGGCCTTGAGAGAATTCCTTTGGACTAATCCTGAAGAAATAAGAGATTTGAGCCCCTCACTCTGAAATCCCTGAGAGCACTTATATCCTAAGTTTTATTTACCCTTCTCCAGTTAAGTCTACATTTAACTCCCTCTACAACCATATGAATTCAATTAAAACATTCCCAGTCCCTTACACCCCTCCAGTTACATCTTACTTCTCAAATGATTAATCTTAGGTGAAACTCCAACTTGAATTATTTCCACACTTTCTATCTTCCTCTTTAATTGGAAAGCCAATAACTGTGTACAGTATTGTCAAAACACAGAATTACCTCATGCTCTCTGTTATTCTATTGTTTTCCTTCTATTTAGTGAAGCTTTTAATCAAAAAAGTTGTGTCCTTTAAATGTAGAAGTACCTCCTCAACCTGCAGCTTGAAAGCCTTTTCTTCATTTGTCAAATAGTCATGATTAATGGACAGTTATTGACCCTGGAACTATAGCAGATGTTACAGGAAGTATAGTTAGCTGCTTGACCAATCATACAGTGAGTGGCAATTATCCTTTCTTAAATAGACTAAAACATAGCATATACACATGTGCATGTGGGCACGCACGCACACACACACACACACACACACACACACATACACACACACACACACACCTAATACCTCAACATGTGACTGAGATGATTATGAAATGAATTTCCTTCTGTGAGTTCTAATTTTAAAAGGTTTAAAAATCCACTTTTTAGGACAAGCTTTTCTATATTTTGCACAAGGTAAAAAATATCATCTGGAAAACATATTGGTTAAAACTCTTTGGCCCCAACCCAGATCTACTGAATCATCCTCTCTCGAGGAGAACAGAAGACTAGGAAATCAGCATATTTAACAAATGTTCCAGGTGATTCTTATCATCAAACAAGTCTCGGGAACACCACCATAAAAGTCAAGAACCAACATGTTCAAGAAAACCCACACAAAATCTCCTAACAGTCCCTCTCAAAAATGCGGGGGAAAAAAAGCTATCCAGTCTCATTGAGGATTTCAAGTACCTTCGCTGTGGTTTATACAAAATTAAATCATAGCTAGAGCTTATGAGGACCAACTGCAGAAGGACACAAAATGAGTGTCAAAGCTGCCAGTTCATTCTTCGGCACTTTAGTTTTTCCTAAGTCTCTCTACACAGAATCACTGGTTTTAAAATATCAAAATCACCTACGTGTCAATCACACGCCACAGTTTTACAGGGTTTGTTCATGGGTTTTTCCCAGTTCCCACAGTGCACCTCTCATGAGACAGGGGAGTCTTTGGCATTGATGGAGACACTGAAGTGAGCTTAGGTGAGCTTTTGTTGCTTTCCTATCCGTCAGACTGCAGCTTCCTGTTTCATGGAATGTAACCTTGATTTGAGTTTTCTTTATGGAAACACAATATTGAATCTCTAAAACACAGTCCAAGACAAGTTCTACCCCCAAAAAGTTGTATTTTTCAAAAATGTCTTGAAGTTTAAAATGGAAAAATTAAAATTAAGAATTCAGAATATAGAATTAAGATTTATAGACCATTTAAACATTCCTAAGGAAAAAAAGAGAAAGAAGTCTAGTACTTATACTTATTTCAGGCTCCTGGATGGACTAAAAGTCTAGTTGACTATGCAGTATTTTTAATTGGCCAAATGTTAGCTATACTAGAATTATCCCTAATCACAAAGACTGGATTTCTTTTGCCCCTTTCTGCTATTTTTCAAGATAGCTTTTCCTTTGAGTCTGTAAAGATAAAACCAAACATAGTTTCATGAATTAGTTTTCTTTTCCTTTGAATACCTATTGTATTATTACACCTATTATATTATGATACCTTTGTATTATGATACCTTTGTATTATGATAAATTCATAAATTTTATTTTGAACAGATAATACAAATGCATTATACAAACTTTGTACAAACACACGAAATAACAGAAGATAAAGCAGGTGTACAGTTCTCTACATTTTAAATAATGATGTTAATAAGTTTCACAGGTGGCTTAAACCTATAATCCTAGCTATCCTGAGATATGAGGATCAAAGTTCGAAGCTAGCTTGGTCTGAAAAATCCAAGAAACTTTTATCTTCTAGCTAATCCACAAAAGACTAAAACTGGAGCTGTGGTTCACATGGTAGAGTAACACTCATGAGGAAGAAAACCAAGGGACAATGTAGAGGCCCTAAATTAAAGCCCCAGTACAAGCACACACACAGAAAAAAACAAGGGTCTTCAATTTGAATTTAAAAGAGAGCCCTAAACACTTACATGTCAGCTGATATCTAGACAATATTTTGAGATGAATTTCTTCATGTATTGATAGTGAAATTGAAGGAAGAAAGCTTTATTCTAGAAGGCTGAAATGTTTGCTCTTAAGAAGATTTGGGGGAAAAAAAGTGGTTGGAAAAGAAAGACTCAGTGGTTTATCCTGATGAATGACCCTGTTCTCTTCCCTTCCAGAGGAGATTTGCACCCTTGTCATCGCTGAGACTTTCCCCGAAGACGCTGGCATCTTTACCTGCTCAGCAACAAATGAGTATGGATCAGTGACCAGCACTGCCCAACTAGTTGTCACTTCAGGTATGTGGTTCTGTTCCCCAGTGCTCTTTCTACATGTCAAAAGCAACTGTCCCAGGAGCACTCAGCCTTTAGGAATGCTGGTGGTACCTCCAGGAGTTACCCCCCAACAATCAATTGTTTTATCTGAAACAAAGGCTTTGGGGGAAGGCTATGAAAGGGGGCAGAACTGTGGATAACAAGGCACTCATTTTGGGGGCTGTTTTGTTTTTGGGGGGTTGTTTTTTTTAATAATGCAGTCTCATTTGGGGAAACAATGGAACTGGTTTTCTAAGTCTTTGTGGTAACCTGGAATCCTCTCCACCTAGAAAGTCATCTAGTAAGTCAGATTGTAGTCATGCTTCTCAGAAATGCCGGTGGATGAGGTCCTGAGACACTGGTAATATTAGATTGTAGTCTGGGCCACTAAACTTCTGGAAAAAAAATCAATAAAATCCTAGTGTAGGACAAGAGATGTAACAAGTGATAGAGTGCCTGTCTGGTACATGAGGTTCTGAATTACAAAAGAAGGAAGAAAGAAAGAAGGGAGGGAGGAAAGGGAAGGGAGGGAGGAAAAGGAAGGAAGGAAGGAAGGAAGGAAGGGAGGGAGGGAGGGAGGGAGGGAGGAAGTATAATTCAGAAAAGCAATAAAGATCTTAAAAGTCAAACTTCAATGATAATTTATAACTTCTAAATAAAGCAATATGTTAGGATATTGCAACCAATACTCAAAAATAGATGGACATTTTCTAAACTCAAAAAAACATAACACCAGGAAAGGCATCCTAAAACACCACGTTGCTTTTATTATTTCTTTTACTTGGCTATTTTCTACTATTATTAATGAGCTTTCTTCAGTTATGGTGATTGGCCCATCTCGATTAGTCAGCGTACAGAGTTGGGTTTTGGGTTTTTTTTTGTTCTGTTTTAAACCTCTTGATGAAGCCTGGCCCATAGTAATACACACGGCAGGGAACCAGTAAGTGGAAGTCTGCTGCCTGAGACTGAGTTGGAGAACTCCATTGCCATTTGGTTCCTGGAAGAGCAAGAACTCAGGGCTAGGTGGCAGCAGAGGCATGACCAAAAGTGGCTCCAGGGCTGAAGGAGAGTGGAGATTGCATATGCTTTTCCATCTCCATTGAGAAAGGCAATGAAAGGGAAATGGTTAACATGAAGGACTCCCGTAGGTAAGAAATGCTAGGGTCATCATTGGAGTCATAGAGTAGGGTGTATTGGGCATGTTCATTTGCAGTTGGCTAGAAGACTATTCCATCAAGTGGCTATGCCAGTAGTGGGGTGCTCAAAGAACAATAATAAAAGAAGGTCTGCTGCGATCTGGGAAAGGTGAGGGGAACATATATATATATATATATATATATATATATATATATATTTTTTTTTTTATTTATACATACATACACAGAGAGAGAATATTGTGGATAACAAAATAAAGTCTCCTTTCTTCTTTCCACTGTCACTGAGGCTTGTACTCAGGGCTTTAACACTGTTCCTTAGCTTTTCTGCTCAAGGCTGGTGCTCTACCACTTGAGCCACGACTCCATTTCCAGGGTTTTTGCAGATTAATGAGAGATAATCATGTCCTAGATTTTTCTGTCTAGTCTGGCTGCAACCTGGGATTCTCAGATCTCAGCTTCCTAAGTAGCTAGGATTACAGGTGTGAGTCACAGGAATTTGGCAAAAAAAAAAAATAAAAACCCACAACAAGCAAACAAAACACAGCTGTGACAAATATCTGGCGTAGAAAACGTTTCATGTGAGAGGAAAAGGCATCCATTTCACTGATACTCAGAACTTTTCTTTCCTTCACTTTAAAATAAAATGAATATCCACATAAATGTTTTATAGCTTGAGCTACTGGGTACAAACATGGATCAGTTTCCAGTGAGCTTCATGGACTGAAAAGTGACAAGTTAAAGCATTTTGGTTGATACTCTTTGTGTAGTCCTTTTTTATTATTATTAAACCAAGTTCTACCTTTAGGTCTTATTTGGAGTTAATGAATTGATGAGTAGTTTCTCTGTGTATGAATTCAGCTGGGAAATGAGGCAGGTGGGAGACACTTGAAGTAATCCTGGAAAAGCCAGGCCTCCCAGCTGGCAACGCTATACCTAGTGAGGGCAGCATCCCCCTCTAAGAACAGGACACAAGGGATTCTCAGGAGACCTATGATGGCGAGAAGATGACTTGGTGAAGTGGTAGCATCTCCCTTTTCTTCCCTTTTCCTAGCCAACACTGAAAATTGTAGCTACGACTCATTGGGGTATGCCAACAATGACCACTTCCAGCACTTTCCACCGCCCCCTCCAATCTTGGAGACGAGCAACTTTGAGTTGGCATCCAAGAAACCATGTGAGATCCAGCAGGTGAACAGCCCTGACTTAGGACTCAGCATGGCAGCCCTTCAGATGCAATTCGGTTCTGCCGAGAGGGAAAGCAACGGAGTCCACCCCGGCCATGGAATGAATGGACTGATGAATGGCAAGGCCAACGCTAATAAATCTCTTCCAACACCAGCGGTCCTGCTTTCACCCACCAAGGAGCCACCGCCCCTGCTTGCCAAACCAAAACTGTGAGTACTTCTGCATACTTCTATAATACTTTCCATACTCCTGCTACTTTCCTCTCTGGTTAGAAAACACTTTTTTTTTTTTTACAGAATTCAACTACAGGGCAACTTGTCCAGGCTTCAAAAAAAAAAAGGAAGGAAGGGAAGGAAGGAAGGGTAGGAAGGAAGGAAGGGAAGGAAGGGAGGAAGGGAGGAAGGGAGGCAGGAAGGAAGGGAGGAAGGGAGGGAGGAAGGGAGGAAGAGAGGGAGGAAGGGAGGAAGAGAGGGAGGAAGGGAGGAAGGGAATGAGAAGCTCAGTTAAATCTTCCTTTTATTAAAGGATGTAACTAGTTTTGAATGCAAAAATAATGCGTGAGTTCCATGGCCTTCCAACTTGTAGCCAAGAGTATAACTGCTCCCAGTAAAGATGAAAAAGGTGGCTAGGTGAACTTGGCACCCTCTAGTAAAATATGACCAGATATTTTCATTATAGCACTCAGTAAGGAGATCTGATAAAGATAGGAGGAGACAAGTCAAATCTGAGCATGGAAATTCAGTGTGTAGATCCTGGCAGAAGCAGTGAAACCAGAGATAGGCTGGTCAGGAAGAAGAGTAGAGTACTCTTCTCAACTCCAGTGACTTGGCTCCAGAATTCCAGGGAACTGCATAGTTCCACCTTCCTATTTGATTTCTGATATTTTCTTAGGATGATAAGGATGGAAAAGCTTGTATGAGCTGTTTCCATTGGCACTGTGCAGCAGAGTTATTAAAAATGGAACCATTACAATGTCAGAGAGAGGTAGAAATAAGTGAACTCAAAAAGATCTATCATAGTAACTTGAGTTACCGCTCTGACAGAGGTCAGTCAAAATGCATGAGCTATTTAGAATGTGTAGGCACTCGATTGGCCCAAACCTAGGAAACTCCCTTGTATTTCCCCCATAAGGTCTGGTGTTTGTGATTTGGTGCAAGAAAAATTCCTAGATGATAGGTATTATTCTTTGTTTCCCTAGTCCTAAGCATTCCATGTTCTTTCTATGATCGGAGAAATGATTATGACGCGCTTACATTAGAATAATAACCTTACATTTTGACATTCCTCTATTATTTACTAAACCAACTCCCAAAACATTTTTAATCAACAAATGGGCAGAGTGTCATAAAAAAATAGTCTTCTGAACAATCTCATGTCATAGTTTCAAAAATCTACCCAGCACTTAATTTTGTATTTTCTTCTGGTTGTTTTTTTTTTTTTAAAGATAATAGAGCTACTGACTAAAGTTGCATTAAATAGTGAGAAAGCGACCTATGTCCTGGCTCTATGGAGAGAGCTTCAACAGGCAAAATACGCTTTTAAAGAAAATAGCAGCCATAAAAGAGACTTACTCATAGCACCAGCCGTCAAATTAATGGCCACTATTTACTTCTTTCCTCCCTGTATTTTAAATATGTGTTTGTAGTGCTCTTCATGAGACAGGTCCCTGCTTTCCTGGGAAAGAAAGGGTGATGTGTTTCATGAGTGGTACTTGACTGGCTCTTGATTAAGTGAAGTTTATCTACTATAACAAGCCATCGTGAATTGGTGATAAATCAAGGGAGAGTAAACATGAAAACTTGTTAATGGTCCTTAACAGCTCTTCTTATCTCGGGCATCTGAACAATTCTGTAGTTTTTAGCTCTGATACCTGTTTGTCTGGTGGGGGCATGTCTACAAATACAGGCAGAACAATTTTGTGGTTATTAAGGGGACAGGTAGCTCAGGCACAAATGTGAAGAGTAACATCATAATGTGTTTACGAGTCAGATGTCCGATGTACAATAAGACAATAAAAAGAGATGATAGTGTGAGATCGAAAGGAGGAAATTTGGGAAAAGGCAGAACAAGTATGTAACACAAAATCTGGCGGCGTATTTACCTAAAGTAGATTTTATTACTGTTCTTTTTTTTTTTTCCAAATCTTTGAGTGTCTACATATTTCCCTAGAGCTTGGCTTCACAGTTTTCATATTGTATAATTACCTGCCTTTAGCCAGGTAGAAGATAGTACATGATGGATGATACTTTATCTTTTTTAAAACTTTTTCTTGGTTGGGAAAATTTAAAATAATTAAAATATAATGATTTGTTTGCATTATAAAATCAGTGCATGGTGATGTGACAATTCAAATAATGCAGAGGCAATTAAAGAAAAATGTTCTGCTTGTCTGGCCCTCTTGAGGTTATCTGGCCTACTGGTTTGGTCTGGTCTGAAAAGGTTTGCTCTTGCTTTACCCATTGCATCCATTGATAAGAAAACATTATGGAATGTCATATTCAAATCATGAGATTTGTTGTTTTATCATCAGCTGTGGAAAATCTATAGTTTGCTTTCGTCTTTATCCATCACCCTGTGATTTTTACTTCCTTTGATAGAAAGAAGTTCATCCCTCAGGGTTTTATGATATTTAATGTTTATCATTCCAAATCAACCTAGCAGGAAATAATTAGAAGGGGAAAGTAATACAAAGTAAAGTACTTGTTCTTGAAAGAAGTTAATCTGGTCATTGTATTTAATTTGTTAAATACTTGTAGAAATGATCTTGTTTTTGTTTTGACTTTGATTTTTGTTTTGTTTGTTTGTTTTGGTGCCACTACTGAAGCTTGAACTTTATTCACTCAAGGATGGGGCTCTACGAATTGAGCCATAAATCCACTTCTGCCTTTTTGCTAGTTAAGTGGAGAAAGAGTCTCATGGTCTTTTCCGTCCAGGAGAGCTTTGGACCTGATGCTCATATGTCAGCCTCCTGAATAGCTAGGATTACAGGTAGGAGCTACGGGTACCTGGCAAAAGTGTCATTTTCAAAAAAAGCTCCAGTTATGATCATACAAAGGAGGGGGATTTAAAACTGTCATGAAAGGATATAAATATCATAAACACTTCTCTAAGCCCTGTTATTAGATAACATCTTCAGTTATCTAATAAATATCCTCAACAGTACATTCATCATCAGTAGACTTGCAAGTACCCCAGACCTCCCTTTGGGTCTGTCCTTCCTGCCATCAAGGGGAGTTTCTGGCTTGGTGTCATGGCGGCAGCCAGTCCATTTTCTATAGCCCCAGTGTCTGCCTCTGACATGGCACCTCAAGTACCAGAGGAACATAACCAAACGCAGGTCATTTCCAGAGGCGCTGCACAGTGGCCTTGCAGACTGCCTTACCTCCTGCTGGGAGACCATAAAATCACCAAGGACTATAAGAGAAAAAACACAAAAACAAAAACAAAAAAAAATCAGTTCTGTGACTCGGTGGCCAATATTCATAATCGTCTGTGACACTACCAAGAAAGCATCATGAAATCGTATGTGTTGTCAGCAAAATGGGAACGGACGTAAATCTAACTTATTGCCTATTTATCCACTTCTTTCTCCACAAATGATGCCTGAAGATTCAAAATAAATGTTGGGCTCAGTGTGAACCATTCTGGGTTTTCCAAATAACGCAAAACAGTTCTTTAAAGGCCTGAAATGCAGTCAATGGGAGGAAATCCTGGGAGTGTTCAACTCAGTGGGTGATTTGAAAAACATACAGAAAAGTATGCCATGATTTTTTTATTTTTGTCAGTTGTGGAACTTGAACTCAGGGCGTAGGCACTGTCCCTAAGCTTCTTTATGCTCAAGGCTAGTGCTTTTCCATTTGAGCCACAGCACCACTTCTGGTTTTTGAGTGGTTAATTGGAGATAAGAGGCTCCTGGGGACTTTTCTGCCTAGGCTGGCTTCAAACTGTGATTCTCAGATCTCAGCCTCCCAAGTAACTAAGATTACAGGCATGAACCACCAGTGCCCAGCCATGCAGTGATTTTTTTTCTAATGAGCCTACCTTCTCTATCCAATCAAACAATATATAAATAAAAATGCTATTTTCAAATCCCATTAATGTCTTTCTATTGTGGGGTCTTCTGTCTTATGAGAGAGAGAAATAGAAGCTACACACAGAGAGAAAACAATGAATAACAGAAAGGGAAATGACTATAGGGTGAAATCATGAGCAACTCTGTGAACCCAGGAATTGTCAGCTCAGCAGATAAAATTAGGATTACTTGCCACCCTAATGCCAAAACTATATACACTGCCATAAAAGTCCATGCCCATATGACAGGAAGAATGATAATAAAATGTTTTAAAATGTTTTTCCACACTAAAATCAATGGCTCTTATCAATTGCCCTCTCTCAATCGCTAAAGAAAAATGCAGCATCATTACTTCCTACCTTAAAGGGAAAAAAAAAATGGAGCCAGGTTCCCACTAGTGGCTCGTGTCTGAAATCCACCTACATGGGATGTTGAGATCAGGAGGATCACAGTTCCAAGCCAGCTTTGGCAGAAAAATACAAAAGTACACAGTGGAATGTGCCTCCTGTCACCCAAGCTATTGTGCTATGTAGGAAGTGAGAAATAGAGATTGCACAGTTCATATGTCTACCCCGGCAAGAAACAAGATTCTGTCTCATTGATAACTAGTTCAAATGAGCTAGAGGCATGACTCCATGCAGAGCACCTGCCTAGCAAATATGAAGTCCTGAGTTTAAAATCCCAGTACCAAAGAAGGAGGGAAGGAAGGGAAGAAGTAAGAAAAGAAGGAAGGAAGGGAGGGAAGGAGGGAGGGAGGAAGGAAGGAACGAAGTAGGTAGGTAGGAGGCAGGGAGGGAGGGAAGGAAGGAAGAGAAGGAAAGGAAGGAAGGGAAAAGTAATTTTAGGTTAAAGTAGGCACTCCAAAATAATTGCATTTTATAACCTTGCTCCTTTCTTTCTCATTGAGTCCACACCAATTATTAGACACTCAACTGTCTCTGCAAATTTTGTCTCAAAAGAGAGCATATCTCATAACCTCTTTCATGCCCATATAGCAGGATTTTTGGTGTCAGTCTAATTCTAGTCTGACAAAGCAAAGCTGTGTCTTCAGAGCAATCAGTATATTCAAAATAAGACAGATATCTCTTCATGGCATATGCAGGAATGGGAGAGGATGTGTGTCAGAGAGGGAAGAAA